TAATCTGGGAAAGCCCCAAAGGGTGGGCTATTTAAAGATCAGCCACTCTATAGGCCAGTGTATTAGATAAGTAGTGAAGAAAACGGTAAAGTTTACAGCACCCAGTATTCTCCCATCCAAGTAATAACCAGGCCCAACCCTGCTTAGCTTCCAAGATCAGACGAGATCAGGAGCAGACAGGGTGGTATGGCCGTAAGCTGGGACTGCACCAAAGATCAGCCACTCTATTGGCCAGTGTATTAGATAAGTAGTGAAAAAAACGCTAAAGCTTACAGCACCTGGTATTCCCAGGAAGTCTCCCATTCAAGTACTAAGCAGGCCCGACCCTGCTTAGTGAAGAAAACGCTAAAGCTTACAGCACCTGGTATTCCCAGGAAGTCTCCCATTCAAGTACTAAGCAGGCCCGACCCTGCTTAGTGAAGAAAACGCTAAAGCTTACAGCACCTGGTATTCCCAGGAAGTCTCCCATTCAAGTACTAAGCAGGCCCGACCCTGCTTAGTGAAGAAAACGCTAAAGCTTACAGCACCTGGTATTCCCAGGAAGTCTCCCATTCAAGTACTAAGCAGGCCCGACCCTGCTTAGTGAAGAAAACGCTAAAGCTTACAGCACCTGGTATTCCCAGGAAGTCTCCCATTCAAGTACTAAGCAGGCCCGACCCTGCTTAGTGAAGAAAACGCTAAAGCTTACAGCACCTGGTATTCCCAGGAAGTCTCCCATTCAAGTACTAAGCAGGCCCGACCCTGCTTAGTGAAGAAAACGCTAAAGCTTACAGCACCTGGTATTCCCAGGAAGTCTCCCATTCAAGTACTAAGCAGGCCCGACCCTGCTTAGCTTCTGAGATAAAACGAAATCAGGCACAGACAGGGTGGTATGGCCGTAAGCTGGGGCTGCCACAAAGGGTGGGTTATTTAAAGATCAACCACTCTATAGGCCAGTGTATTAGATAAGTAGTGAAGAAAACACTAAAGCTTACAGCACCTGGTATTCCCAGGCAGTCTCCC